AAGACAATAATTATTAACCGATAAAGAATAAAATTATATATTTTTCTATTTACGTTTGTTAGCTTTTTTGTCGATTCAAAAGTTTTTTTTTTCTTTTTTATGTTTTTCCAAAAAATAAAATATTGTAGTAATTATTAAATGTGTTACAGAAAAAAAACAGTTGTTACAGTCCATCATAATTACWCTTGTAATTATTTTAGAATAAATTAAATTCATGAATTTAAAAAAAAATTAATAAATTATGTGATTAAGGAAAAAAGAGTAAACTACAATTTTGGTCCTTATGGTTTATAAAAGTAACATTTTTTTTTCCTGTAGTTTCAAAATTACAAGACARCCCACGTGGTTTGCAAAAACATCCAGATTCTATCTACTGGTCGTTAAAGAAATCCGTTAAATAAGATGAATTTTCGTTATTTTATAATTTTTTTGTATGTTACTCGATCAAAAACTACAAAGATCAAAATCGTTTTGATTTGGTAAACGACAAAAAGTCGATAAAATGCTGAAAATGCCATTTATTTTAACAAATTTTATAAACGATTGTTAAAGAAAAAGACCAAATTCGAATGTCTTTGGCTTTTTGTAAACCACGATAGTTATCTTATAATTTCGAAGCTGTAAAAACAAAAAATGTTATTTTCGACAAGGGTAAAATGCATAAAAAAGTAACGTACTTTATCTTGATTCCTATTTTGGATAACGTACTTTCAAAACTTTCATTTTTATACATAAGATGTAAAATTTTAAATACTTAAGTACCCGGGTAACCGGTTAATGTGGCGAGTGATGTGGTATCCAACTCAATATTATTTATTGAAGCATTAATCAGATACCACATCACTGACCACATCAGCATGGTAACCGGTTAATGATTCAGCTTGTTATCCGGGTACTTAATATTTAAAACTTTACATTTTAGGTACCAAAATAAAAGTTTTAAAAATGTATTATCTAAAATTAGAATCAAATTAAAATACTTTACTTTTTCATATGATTTACCTTTTCAAACAAACCATCTAAACCAAATTTATAACTTACTCTAAAAAAAATTAAAAAGAGGTATGAATTAAGTATTAAGAAACAATATGATTATGTTGCAATTTAAAATAATACTGAGTTGAATACCACATTACTCGCCACATAAACATGGTAACTGGTTAATACTTCAATCAATTACTCGGATACTTAAATGTTTAGAACTTTACATCTTAGGTGCAAAAATAAAAGTTTAAAAAATACATTACYGAAATAAAAATCAAATTAAAATACATTACTTTTTCATTCAATATACCATTTCAACAAACCATTTAAACCAAATTCATAACTTACTCTAAAAAAATTAAAAAGAGGTATGAATTAAATATTAAGAAACAATATGATTATGTTACAAGTTAAAATAATACTGAGTTGGATGTCACATTACTCGTCACATCAGTATGGTAACAGGTTAATACTTCAACCGGTTATTCGGGTACTTAAATGTTTAAAACTTTATATCTTAGATACAAAAATGAAAGTTTTAAAAATACATTACCAAAATAAAAATCAAATTAAAATATGTTACTTTTTCATGCAATTTATCTTTATAAAAATAAAAAAAGGTATGAATTAAATATTAAAAAAACAATATGATTATGTTGCAATTTAAAATAATATAGAAATGGAATGACGTGGGGGGTATACATGGGTTGGTCAGAGTGCCCACTCGTGCTCATGAATAGTTAAATACCACACCCTTTTACATTTTCTATGTAAAAGTTTGGTGAAATTATGATAATATATATATTTTTATTTATTTTTTAATGATTTTTTTTATGAAATATCATGAACACAATAGTATTTATGTAAATAAGTAGAACTTCAGTGGCATGATTGTAACGGATCT